CAAAAAAATATACGTATTTTGGAAATGTTGAGTCGAATTAGTCTAGAATCGATTAATTTTATGAAAGAAAACCTTTCAAACAGCCGTAGTCCGTAAACTATGATTCCTACAAAATTGATTCATAAAGAACGGAACGTATCTACCGTCTTATAGGGGGATCTACTGTATATGAATTATTGCACGTGTGCATCCTCCTCCGGAATTTTCCTCAGCGGTGTGACTAAATGTGCAGCGGCTAGAGATGTCGTGTGGAATTGTTTCCATGATAACTGCCTCTAGAAACTTGCCAATAGTAATTATTTATTGTGACATGGTCACAATGCCGGGCTGCAATTTTTAATCACTTTTGTTTAATTTATTTAATTTCAAATGTATGTTTTTAATCTCAAATTAGTAGTGGCTTGCCCCTGTACATCATACTTTTCCTCTAACAATAAAGTCGTGCCTGTTATCTATTGATAACTCCTTTCGGGGGGGATTTTTGAATTGAAATAACGTGACTTCCTATTTGTACTGGAAGTTTGTATGTAGTTAATCGGGGCTCCTGCCTCTAAGTTTTCCTTATCTGATCTCGACTTTCGTCTAGCTAACTTCGTTCCCGAGATTAAGGAAGGACAGACGAACGACAGTAGGAATTTATAAGTCTATAGTTACCTGACCTATCAAGACTAAACTATTCTTTAGACTGAAGATGAATAAATGAGATCGAATTTATTCGTTTCAAATTTTACTAATATTATTGATAGTCTTTTGAATATTATAATTTAATGTACGAAACTTACATCAATTTCTTCGGCTTGCACTTCATCTTCCGGAAAATCCACTAAAGTATCAGCGCTATCTTGAATTTCCTTAGCTCCATTCGTTATTTCTGACCTTTCGCTAGCACGAAATAATCCACCTTGATCTGAAAAAGTTAAGAAATTCATAAATTCATGAAATCTTTTAACTTTTTTTTTAATAAACATTTAATTATTAAATTAAAATTTATGCTTAATGTGATAAACAAACATATAGTTCCCAGATTAAATAATAGCGAAATTATATTAAAAACAAAATAATGTAAACCGAAACAATCTTATTTTTTTCCAATGATAAATTTATGAAAAATCTAATTGTTTTTGAAGGCCAGGTTTCTCATTTTACTTGTTCGTATTTACTTAATCACAAGATTTAGTTCAATATCACCTTTATGTAAATTTTCAACTTTTGATATGTTTTACTTATTTATTGGGTGCAGATTTATTACTGTATTAGTATTATTATTACAATGGATGATCAATATGCCAATAAATATTGTAAAAAATAGTATAATTTGTCTGATTTATCGGATGTTTTGTAATTTTTTATTACATTAATTTTTCATTTTACTTTCCTAGTTCTGTTATATATAACAGAGGGGAGACTTTTCTATTTACTTATAGAAATAAATAAGGTATGTAATATGTATAAATACATTTGTTAATTAATTACAAAATCATTTGTTTAACTCGTTTTTTTTAAATATTATTTAAATTACTGTTTCTCTTTTCACTTCGAACTGAAGAACTAAGACGTCTAATAGAGTAGTTCTTTGTTGAAAATAATTTAATTAAAGTTTAAAAATGTTTTATATTTTACAGTTTTGTGAATACACATGATTTATGTTAATAGCAATGGTTTGAATATATATAATTCAACAACATAAACATGCATGAGATCTATATATATCATTGCAGTGGTAAACGAGTTTCATTTTAATTAGAATATTAACAGCAATAAAAATATTTATATTATATAAATTACTGTTTTGTGTTCTCTAAAATAAAATCAGCCAATGAAAACGTACTTATTACAAAGAAATAAATAAAATACACAAATCAGTAAGAAAAAAAAAAAATATTAAATGGTTGGAAAAACTATTCTCTGTCTAGAAATTACGTTTATTTTTCTCTCTCAAGGAGTGATTGAACGAAATATAATTATGATATATGAGCAAATAATTATTATAAAGAATTTCCATATATTTTAACATCATAACGACGATTTGTTAAGAGTTCTTTGAATTCATATAGGTTATAACCAAATAAATTTTACTATATATATAATATAATATATATTATCTTACAATATTGATTTCCAATCTCCTATATCTCTTGTAGAAGATCTTGTTTTCTTTATCTCAAAACGAAATTTAATAGTCTAGCATGCTAACACGAATAAGTTTATTAACGATTTTTTTAAACTCCTCCCTGTGGACAATATTAAACTCCTCTAATGTCCATATTCACATTCAAGAACCATGAGTTAAGGTTAGAAGTTAACTAATACGCGTTTATACACTAAAAGTAATGAATGGTAATTGTTTAACTTCTAACTGTTGATTTTTGTGAATAGGCCTTAAGAGTACTATTGACAAATTTCATAAACAGTTAATTTTATCTGTTGCCTAATTATTCGGACAAGAGATAATCGATTTCCAAATACATTTACTTAGTACTGTATTTTTAACAATGAATTTGCTTGAAAACTAGAAGTTAAATATCAATAATATTGAATTATCTTTTTTTCCTATATTAATATTAATAATATTTCGAAGAGATAAACGAGAAAAATTTTCATTTAAATAATTTAATTCTGAAGGATAAAAGATCATAATTATTACTAATTTTATATCAATAACTAATTATTCTTTCATCTATTATTATTTAATAATTTCAGGAAAATAGTTTGAAAAATTTTAACATATTCTTATTTTAAAATGTCCTTTATACAATTATTGCAATTTAAGTAATAATTTTATAATAATTCTGGATCAACTCATTGAAATGATATGATCCATTAAAATAGAAAAAAAAATATTTAATGTTTTTTCAGTGATATCGAAGATGACTTCATATTGCAAAAATTAATCTTAATTGTAAAAACACTAACTTTAATGAATTATTATTATAAAAAAATATTAAAAATAATAAAATTCATGGCCGACGTTATTTACATTTAATACATAAAAATATAAATACGACTTATTATACGAATTATTATTATTTTAAAATGTCATACTTGAATTTATTTACCTTCGTCTAAATTTATTTCGGTGATAGTGCTTAGCATTCTTCGTTGTTGAGTCTTAAAAATTCCATCACCCGGTCCATAAAAATATCCCTCAATACCATTTGATAGTTTGTTCATCTTTTCTTTAGACTCCTCCTCATTCATTCGTTCAAGATTTTGAAAAGTTCCTTTTAAAACAGTTTTTTCATCATTATTTTCGACGAAATTTGTAGAAATATTATCTTCAACAGTCTCTTCGTTATCATTTTCTGTAAGATCAAGATCAGATTTTGTTTCAGTTTCAGATTTTTTTCGCGTTTCGGAACTGGATAATATTCTGTTCTGATACCTGAAAAAATATTAATCAAAAGAATATTTTCAATGTTTCTTTATTATTTTATACATATATTTAAATAGTATAAATCTTTTTATATCAAATCATTTATTAATTTAATTATCTGGAGTTAGATATATCTATAAATTCTGCTTGTTAAGGCTACTAAATATTTAATTTTCTTTATATTTAGAACATTTTCAATTCCTTTTGAGCAATCTTCACTATAAACTACTTTATATTAGATAATTCTATTAACAGCATGCAGTACAAAACTTAAGCTAAATAGGCTAAAATAAATTATAAAGAACAATTTAAAACTTAGAACTAACTCTTTAAATTTGAATTTAAACTTAAATTTCTAATTTAAAAAGTTATTTCTAAGTTTTAAATTCAATATGAATTTGTTCTGCATCCTGTTAATAGAATATCTAATATAAAGTAATTTGAAGTGAAGATGGCTCAAAAGGAGTTGAAAACGTTTTAAATACAGAGAAAATTAAATATTTAGTAGACTTAAACAGAATTAATAGATATATTTAAATATTGTGCCAAACTTTTCTCATTATAATGTCTGAAATTCTTTATACAGGTAACCCCCATATAACACGGTTGTTACGTTCCAAAAAATTGCCGTGTTATACGAAACAAAGAACTAATACGAAAAGGAGGGTTAGGTTCAAAAATTAAAAAACATGCTAGTATATTTTCATTATTAAGATAAATATCTTCATTAAAATTTTTTAAGTGATACATATTAATATAAATTAAACAATGTTTTCTTCGTCATCACTAAAAACACTATTAATTAACCGAGAGCTTTTTATTTTTGGCAAGTTATCCTTATCCTCTGAGCATTTTTCTGCATTATCTTCAGATCCATGCTTTACCTTTTGCAAAATGTATGTAATTTTAGATTGCTTGCTTCTAGTTAAAAGGTCTTTATAAATTTCCTTATATGGTGCTAAGCACTTATGAAGAATAAAGCAAGTATGGAATAAGGGAAAAACATTCGGCAACATCAGAAGCAGAAGCGTTGCGATCTGGCAACATTGAAACAAGTTTCGAGAAGGACCACGTATATCGACAGAAGGCGAGAAGAGAAAATTTACATACTTAAGTACTAATAGTTCACGAAAATAATAATTTTCGTGAACTATTATTACTTAAATATGTAAAAATTTATTACATTTCATGTTGTACGAGGGTTTTACCCAATTCTCGAACCGTTTCAGAGTGAATCCGTGCTATAAAAGTACCGTGTTATACGGGGGATGGTACCAATTCTCGAACCGTGTTAGAGCGAATCCGTGCTATAGAAGTGCCGTGTTATACGGGGGTTACCTGTATTTCTATTTGATTTAATTTTTCAAATTTTATTTCTGCAAAATAAACATTGAAAAAAAATAGAAACAAATAAGTATGTAGAGATATAAATAAAGGCTTATAAAATAAATTCTTACGTTAATGTTTTTTGAGAAGGAACCGATTTTTGTGTATTATATTTTCCAAATTTAAAATGTTCATTTACTCCAATTGCCACGTAACTGTGTTTATTAGTCAATTCTTCAGGACCTTTAACATCTTTACCTTCTAGAGTACATAATCTGTAAATAAATAAATTATAAACATATAGTCTATAAATTAAAAATATTAATAAATAATTATTAAACATCAAACGATTAATATTAAATACCAGTATTACTGAAAATTAATTTTATGAACTAAATGTAAGTACAGTACTTTTGTAAATTAAATGTAATTTTAAGAACTTTAAATTTAAATCACTTACCTTATTGGATTCTTTACCCTTATAGTTGCATGAAAATGTCAAATAATAGATATAATATATAATTATTAATAATCACTACATAAAAAAATAATTAAAATGCAAAATTTCTTTGTTTATTTTTTCAGATTTTAAGTTATTTGAAAAACAAATATAAGTGTAGATAAATAATGATTTATATTTATATTCTAAGCAAAAACTGAATTTAGGAGAATGGAAAAGTGATAACTTAAGATAATTTCGATATGATTTTAAGCATTTTATAAAGCTTAAAGATTATTATATTAAATTATTAATATAACAATCTTAATATAATATTGTGATTATTGTATTAAATATATTTAAAATTATATTAAAGAATATATTTACTAATAAAACTTTTGTTGCTTCTTGATGATAATTTCATTTTACTTTGATAATATAAGATCAAGGAAATGAATAAGGATTCATCATTCTTATGTTACTTTATAAAATAATAGACTTTTTGAAGCCAATGAATTTTTATATAATTATTTACACAGACTGATACATTCAGAACGAATCACTTGAACATATTCAAAATTAATAGGATTTTATAAATATCTGAAACATAGATACAGATAGATATAGATCTGTGATAGTAATTTTATTTTGAGTTATATTTAATTTTATTTTATATTCTTAATATATACCGGTATAGACTATAAAATATCTATAGTGGATATTATTTACGTAGAAATATAAAAATGTATTGATTTATTTTTATTACATTTCAAAATTATATATTTCAGATGCACGAATTTAATATTTTTATCAACTATACAGTATATAGCTTGTATTGACTGGGGAAATCGCAGACACAAGTCTTTTTTTTTTTTTGTATGTATTACGAAGCTCGTTAGAGAAAACTTAGGCCTTTTAATATCAATTTATACTCCAATCTGTTGGCTATTATATATCAATAGAACATTAAAAAATCTAACCTGTTTTTTCCCCAGAAAATAAAAATCTAGATAATTACGCTGTGTCCGGTTTAATAGTAGACGGTACGATGCAAGGACCAGATAGAAAGTGGCCAAAATTTTGCAGACAAAAGAAATAAGGAAGTGAAATATTTATTTATAAAAATTGAAATACGACAGATTCGTCAATTTGTAAAAGGTGGAAACGAACATATCAAATTTTATATCACTACAGGTTTAGACAGGGCCGGATTAACCCACTTTGGGGCCCTAGACATTTTCTTCTTACCAGGCCCCCTTTCTCTCCCGCAAGAAATAGAGCGCACAAAAATATAAACAATAAATAAAACAAAACTAAATAATGTGAAAAACTAAAACAAAATCTTAAATTTTTATTGATAAAAAATATTTAATATACAACAATAAATTTTAGTTTTTCTAGAAAAGTTTGAACAGTCTGTTTATAAATTTAAAAAAAAATTGAAATTTATTTTATTAAATGTCTAACAAAAGTTATTATACAATAACAATATTACCTTAAAATATTAATTGTTTAATTTAACGTTTTTTGGTTAATATTTAAATAATATAATATTTTACCCATGAAAGGTTAATCGAATAATGAAAAAGATAATTTAAATTAAAAGCCAAGTTAGTTTTAAAAGAATTAAGTATATAAATATGAATAAACTTTATTTAAAAATTCTGTTTTCTAGTCTTTAATTCAGCAAAATTATCAATTATTTCATTAATACTGTATTATTCAAAGCATTTTGTTCGATATATAAAACAACTAAAGAATTTAATTTTGATTCACTCAGTGAGTTTCGTAAATAATATTTTACACGTTTTAATACTGAGAATGTCTATTTAGTATGCCCTGATGCCTGCATCGGGCCGTTCAACTGGCTATCTATATACAATATATAAAATTACGTCCTGACTGACTGACTGATTCATCATCGCCCAGAGAAAACCGCTGAACCTAGAGGTGAAATTGGGTACACAGTTAGGGTACATTATGAAAATGCACACTAAAAAAAGGGATTTTTGGAAATTCCCCCGCGGGGGGGAGAGAAAGAGGATTAAGGCTTAACCTGAAAAAACGGCTACTACTGTACTATTTTAGATGCGATTTTTTGTTTTTGATAGAAATAACTTAATTTCCAAACGTACAATATTTACCGAATCATTTGCCCGTGCAACGCCGGACTCATTTGCTAGTAATATAATATAATAGAAAGATTAGAAATACGAAATAATCTAATAATTGTAACCTTTGTTGTTATTTTTACCCGGGCAACGCCGGGCTCATCATCTTGTAGTTAATTTTATTCTTATCGCTATAAAAAAAAAAAAAATTCTAAATTATCGGAAGAATTACTTTCAATAAGAAGAAACATAAGAACACATTTTCTTTAGATTTTAGAATTCATAATAACCATATAAAAAGCAATATATTTTTGTTTATTTGTTTATTGTATACAGTTGTCCGACAGAAAAGTAAACTATCTTATTTACAAATCTTTTCAAAATAGACAGTTTGACCGGGCCCTTCTAAAAATTGGGCCCTAGACATTTGTCTCATTTGTCTATGCGATGATCCGGCCCTGGGTTTAGAATGCCATGATCAGAATCTGCTAAAATTATAAAGTTTTATAAGAAAAACCGAGTGAACCCCCAAGGCAATTCCTGACACTTTTAAAGCTGTTCGTGGATGCCTCAAATCATGTTTGATTCTAATCAGCGTTGGAGAGACGTTATCCTATCAAAATTTTGATGTGGTAAAAATAAATAGCACAAAATATACTATTATCCATACTTATAAAGACATCTAAAAACTTGGTGCGATACTAGTAATAAACACTTTCTGAAACAGTAAAATCTTTCAAAAACTACGATTTTGGATATGGACAAAACGCGCCGGCATAATAACAACATGTCAATACAATTAGGATGATAGGAATATCAAGACAACGATGCCAACTTTTTATTCTCATGATTAAGCAATTGAAAATGCTGAAACAAGTAACATAAAATCAGTGTTAAAAACTACTTTGTTTTTATATAAATAGTAGGCCTAATTTCTATATGAAAATGATAATCATAGCTTCTGTCTTTTAAGTAATAAATAATGGAGGTTTCATTCGATTCTGAAAACCTAAAAAGAATTCATTAATAAAACTCGTGTTATTATATAAAGCCTTTATTGATCATATCGTAGGGTATAATATTGCGATATCATATTTTTTTAAATTTTCTTTGTTAAATAATGTATAATTAAAAGTTCCTGCTAAGTTAATAAATCGAATCTAGATCTTGTAATCTGCACAAACATTGTAATTTTAGAGCAAACTCCACCAGGAAAGTGTTACCTCTGTAGCTCCTTTGTTGGCCATATTTGGATTATCTGACAGAAGTAGACTATAATTGACTCAGAAAAATATCACTCCAGGTCAATAACAGCACAATGATTTGCACTCAAATGACATACGGTCTTTTACGTATATGTTAACGTCCTGCGCTCTTTATCTGTGCAAATACTCTTTCTATTAAAATGATAATGGCTACAACGCTATTTTTTCGCGTTCGAATATCCATAACTTTTTGTGTAAGTGCTTATCCGATCTACATTTTTTATAACCAAACTCTTTTGGAATCATTTTCTGGAATGGGAATACGCAATGAACCGAAGATATTAAGTAATGCGATTATCATTGCATTATATTCTGTCTATAAATAACACATAACCATTAACATTGCATATAAGAAAACGAGTATCATTTTTATACGGGTTTTTCCTAGATAATACATACAGGTATATGAATAATAAATAACAATACTGCTGTAACATATAGACTACGAGCCTTCTCCTTCCTTGTAAATACAAATTGTTCTGCACATGTATACCATTGTATTTCCTAGTGTTATCCAACAGTTTCCCTTTACGGTTCATGTCTCCCTTTTTCCACTTTCAAACCTCCAACCATCCCACCCTCCTAACTTTTCCTCAAATCACTCTCCTTCCTTCCTTCACCCATCTTTCTTATCTTTTAAGGCTAAACCTTTGAGTACAGCCTTTTCTTTCACATGTATGTATGTTAAGAAATTGAGAAAATATATGGTTACAAGTTTTTGTAAAAATTAATCGTTTTTCTGATCATATAAAATGTATTATTCTAAGAATTATAAACTTACTTTTTTACGTATCCTGTTAATAACTGAACTTTTTTCCCTATCGTCTCTAGAATTTTCTCCCAATTCATCAAATCGCGTTTTCTGAATACAAATTTTGAAGGTGGCATAACATCATCTCCATTTCTAAATACGCTGTAACATTAATAAATTTTACAGCAATCCAAGTTAACTATATTTCCAAAAATAATTCTTCTTTACAGATTAATAAATACATCGTATTTATCAATGGGATACTTACAATATTACGGTAACTTCTGCTATTGATGATCTACGGTTATTTGATGAAGATTTAAGATGATTACGATACGTGGGCCTAATCTAATAAGAAAAAGTTTAAAACGGTGTAAGAATATATTAAAATAATTATTTATTTAAAGTTCATTTACATGCAGAATATGCACCAAATTTTAATTTTTATAATAATATTTTAAAAATTTGAATATTTTATGCAGGAAAACTCTTGGCTAATTAAATGTTCTCAAAGGAAAAATTAATACTCAAAACAAAAGCTATAATTTATTTTAATATTAATGATTTTAATCTTGTTTTTTTTTGGAAATTTTATTACTTTGGTTTTAATTATTAAAACATATAATAAAATGTTAATAAAATAATTACCTTTGAAGCTGGTTTACGAGTAATCACCTTTTTGATATTCTTATTTTGTGCGTAACTATATTAAAATAAAATGTACTTAATTTATTTTATATTTTTATAAACTACATTATTAAAATCTAATTTTACAATTTGTAAGAATTTAAAATAAACATTCTTAATTCAAAAATTTTAAATAATTCATACAGAAAAAAATTCTATTAAGTACTAGAAATCAATTATATAATGTTCCATTAAAATTATATAAATTCAATATAATTTCTTTTCTATTTTAAAAAAAAAACCTATTGATTTATGATTTATATTTAAATTATTTATACTTCAAGGTTGTTAATAAAAAGTTTCAGTTCAGAAAATTATTTTTAAATGTTTCTAAGTACAAAATGAGTTTTATAGCTTTTGCCTCTATCATTATAATATATCATTTAAAACACATTATTAATATTTAAAAAAATAATTCATATTTAAAATTAATATACAAAGTTATAATTTTTTTTTTTCTAGCTAAGAATATAATCCATTTAATAGAAATGTTTTCTATGGAATATTTTCTGCACCTAGTTTCATTTATTAAATAGAACACAATTTTTTTTTCTTCTGGAATTAGAATTTGCCACACCCTTATATTTAATAGTGGATTAAAAATATTCTCCATCTCTAACCTTTTCTGTTTATTACAAATCAATTTTCTAATGGCTTCTCTAATTGACAGCACATATCAAATCTGGTTGTATGCAGACTCAATAAAAACTGAATACAAAGCGAGTTCAGAACGATAAAGTAATATAGCAAGACTTAATTATTATTATACCTAGCAATTTTAATTATAAAAGTGATATTCAGTGTTCGTTTTTTAAATTAAAATTGGAAAGAAAATGTCTTGTATTACAATAAATTTTTGATAAATGCGTGATAAAAGCGAAGGAAATATTGTCTCATTCCTAGCGTGCATTTCAGATTTGTTACTACTAAAGGATGGTCATTATCAATAAATTATTAAGCGCTTACTGGTGTAGATGTCAAATGGAAATAGAAGTTTTTCGTTAGACTTATTTATATTAAATGTTATGAAGGTTTATCGATATTTAAAAAAAAAAGATCTTTGACCGATATTTTGTGAGGAACACAATATATAATTTGATATTTATCCTTGAAAACTTGTTCTTAATATATTATTAAAAATAACCTTTTGAATTTCTTATGATTTTTTATAAATTATAATTATTTATCCAAAAATACATTTAAATGTAATTGTATTTTTTAATAAATAATTATAAGACAGATAGAGAATTGAAAAATACATTTAAAATATGTGCTCTCCACCTCAAATTAGTAGATTCTTGCCCCTGTACATCATACTTTTCCTTTAACAATAGAGTCGTGCCAGTCATCTATTACCTCCTTTCCGGGGAAACAATTTGAATTAAAATAACGTGACTTCCAGTTTTCATCAGAAGTTATAATTAATTGGGGCCTCCAGCCCTTAAGGTTTCCATACCTGGTCTCGGATTTCATCTATCTAACTCCGTTCTCGAGATTAATTAACTAACGAAAGACAGACGACGGACGACAGTGGAAATTTATAGGTCTACATTTTTTTTCAATTTCAGCCCAATAATTAAAAATATTTAAATCATTATAAATACCTTTTATTAAGTGTACAAAACGATTATATAATGGGTGGTCAGCGTTTTGTAGTCTGAACAAATAAATTAAAATGTTTTTTTTTTTAAGTCAATGGGGAGACTTAAGCTCCTATAGCCCTGTCCGTAATAATAGTTTTCATATTTGGATAATATGATATTTAATTCAACTTAGAATTTAAGTAAAACAATAAACTTGTTGAATTTTTTGTCAATGTATTATTTCAATGATATATATAAGTAAGCCTATATCATTAAAATGATGAAAAAATATGAATTACACCTCAACTGAATTTTGATTAAGATTTCATTAGAATTATTTACTCCTGAATACGTTATGGATAATCATCACCAGATAAACACTTAACTTTATATCTTGCAATAGATTATTATGAAGTCATCTTACTTGTTAGTCAATTTATCCGGATTCGTCTTATCCAAATCAAGAAAACGTTCTTAAATTTGACAATGTGGAAAAAATTATATATAGAATATAGCTTTTAATTTAATTTAAGGCCCGTCAGTGGCAGATAAGATCACTAACACTTGTAGTTAGTCGTATGATCGCGCCTGGAACGTAAAGTCTTATGGTATGGCTTCGAAGCCCCAAGCTTATCTTTACCAAAGAGAAGCTTCCAAGAAAAACTTTGACTTTCATTTCGGGTGCCATAATTTTTACTTAGCGCAATGTTTTTTTCCCCTTTTGAATCTCATTTTGAATATCAATGAAGTTCAAAAATTGGATACTATTCAAAGTAAATTTATACGTAGATTGTTTTAGTTAGATTATAAAATTCCGGGTAGTATACTAAGATTAGAGATAAGTAGATTTAGTCTTATGGCACTCTTCGTTAAAAGATGTATAAAGCTGTTAATTAAGGTAAGAGACGGTGGTGAATTTACATTTAACCTCCTAAACCAATTATACAAAAATTCTATTAAAAAATTTTCCTAAAGGAACTGGATTTCAAATTTGTCTAAAATAATTAATGGTTATGGCAGTTCGATCGAACCATTTATATTTTCGCCGGAACTTGAAGAAGAAAGTTATCAGCAATTAATCCGGAATGTGCTAGAAATTTCACTATCGCGAGATATAGAGGATACTCGCTTACAAATTTCATTGAATCAATATTATTATATCCAAGTAATAATACCTATATATTTTCGAGCGCACCATTTTGGGTGAAGAGGCTTTTTATACAACTTCGTCTTAATCCTAGTACATTGGTGATAGACAATAAAGTGTATATATACGAGAATAATCTATGCCCAAGATGTCATATGCAGTTTTCTAAATTTCACCTGATTTGTGAATGTGAAGAGCCTAGAGTTGAGACAGAGATATGATATTGTTGACTAACAGATGTGAATCGGTGGAAGCAACGTATGGGATGTTCCATCGTGCAATCCAAAAAAGTGTTTTCAATTTATATAATTATGTTAAGAAGTTTTTTGATGTTTAAATGTTTTTTGTAACTGTACTGAGTATAAAGACAAGGAGTAAAACTCCCATTGTAACAGCATATGCCTTTTACTAATAAATTTTGGCTTACTTACTTACTTTACTTTGAATATCAATTGTTTTTTTTTTAATTATTTTTTCATTGTATTTATATTGTAAATTATATTATATTAAAATTTCATTATAATTCCCGAAAATTAGATTATTATTATAAATTTCGTTTTTGTCTTCTACGCTCGATGTAAATGCTTTTTTTCTACTACTAAAACAAACATTCTTCATCTATCATATAAGCCTATATTTTTAAGAAATTTTATTGATGAATGTCAATATTCAAACAGCTAAAATTCATCGATTATTTCGGTGTCATTGCAATACAAACTATCACTCGCTTAATCATTTATTGAAAAAACATTAGATACTAATCGAATTGTATCGAAAGAATATTAAAAATCGTATATAGGATAACTTTAACATTATTGCTGATATTTTACGAGAATATTTTATTCATAACTTGCATTCCACAGAGCCCTAAAATTGTTCATTTTGCGTATGATCATGCAAACAATAAGTTCAAAAATTAATGTATTATCGTGACAAGGACGTTGTTATAGTTACTTTTTCACTGTGTTTATACGGCGTTAATAAAACAGTTCAATAAATACAGGTCACTGTAATAAAGGGTCATTATAAATACATTTCCAATCAATACAAGGATCATAAATAATATAGAATACAGAAGATCGGTAACGTATAATCCTAGTAAGCAAACTACAATAGATCCATTCAAAATAATAATAACCATTATGATTGGTTTCAGATGGAAACATTTCACTCCAGCTCATTCCACTTATTCCACTTCAAACTACTTTTTTGAGTTGTTTGAAGTGGAATAAGCAAATGCCAACAAAACTTTGGTAAGAATCAACGCAAAACCATTTGTATTATTAATTCACCGTTTGTTTGTAATGAGCATTAGAATAATAAAGTAAAAATAATTGGAATTTATCAGCTAAATCGGTATAAATTTTCTATTTTCTGAAAGTTGTTTAAAATTAGTTGACAAATAAACAATACTGTATAAATCTTATATTAATTCCAAACCAATCCCATTTTTAATTTATAATACACTAAGCTTTGTGAAATAATTCGAGTAAAATATTTTAAAGATTTTAATATCTTTTCTATCAGTGTTTTTAGGCTAATTCGTTAATTATTTTATCGATTTTGATGCAAATATCTTAATTATCATAAAGAGGTTGTCCATTAATAATGTCACGCCCCAAGAGGGGAGGGGAGTTTAAGAATACGTGACAAGGGGGAAAAGAAGTTTAGAGCAGAGTGATGTCACTGCTTACTAAATATATAATTTGGGTTATGGATGGATCTTCTATAATAAAATCGCGCATGTATTGTTCTTTTCTTCTGCAACTCTCAGTATCCACATTGAAAAACTCCCCAGAAGCGTCACCGACTATGGGTATTTGCATGGGAATAAAAATGCCAAAGATGTGTAGGAGAAAATTTGATCAGCCTATGAGTTGTACAGTACATAAAATATCTTATTTTATAATTTTTAGACTTTCTACCGTTTCAACTTAAAGGTAGAGATCATGGTAAAGATCGTACAGTACATGATTGTGGAAGACGTTGAATGGATTGACGAATAATTTATTGACATGGAAAATTTCCCCAAAAGTGTTCGTACAGAAACTGAAGTATCATTTCTTTGTATAGTTTCAACAAAGGAACACTTAACTAATGTATGGGAGTGAAAAGAAATTGGAGTAGGCTACTTGATATTTACAATGTATTCAATAAATAAAACTTCTTAAACTGAATTCCACTTCTGATTGTTGTACTGTAAAAAAAATTCCAGTAACGAGTTGCGTAACTTTCCCGGATATTATCAGATTTTATTCAGAAAATAATTTTTATATTTTTAATTAC